GTACTAACGATTTAGAAGCTATCTGTATGTTTTCCTGACGTCCTTCATACATTTAAGATTTTAGAAGCGGGTAAAGTATTGAAGGGGTTGATAAATGAAATGGAAAAATATAGTACATACAAGTACTATCCATGCTGAATCCTTGCTCATGAAAATTTTTTCCGTACCTTCATTTCCGACGCTCCACGATTTTTCCCGCATCCCTTACGCCTAGTGATGCGGGGTACAAACGAAAATGAATGTGGTACATTTAGGTACTCACTGAGTACAATCGATACTATAAGAAAAAAAATCGATTTATCAAACTTCGACTCCAAGTTCACACAGCTGGATCGAAGTGTTAGTATTTACTGAAAAAAGTCTGAATTCTTAATATCAGCAACATTTTAATAATTTAAGGAATCTTTGAAGAAAATTTTTTTCCAGTAATAGTTACAGATTAGACTCATAAGACTTGACCACTTCACTCCGAAACTTATAAAATAATTAATAGGGGAGAGGGGTAAAATGGACACTTTTGATTTTTTTCAAAAATATTCATAACTCAGAAACGGATTTATCAATTGAGCTCAGTCTAAGCTCATCACAAAGAGGAATCATTGTTCTTTCAATTGAAAAGTAGAATTATTCCATTTCATGAACAATTCAACACGTCATGAATATTTCAAAAAAAGTCAAAAGTGTCCATTTTACCCTGCCCTTCCCTAATTGCTACCAAATAGTAACTTTTTAATTCTCTAAAATAGTGAAATCAACTTGCAAAATTCATTCTTGTCTATTATGACTGAACTAACCTTGTTGGAAGATCCATTTTTGTTTTTATCGTCGCGACCCACAGCCGAAGACATTTTCTGATGAAATATATTCACAATCCGATGATTAAATCCATGAAACACTATGCTCTCACTATTTTCATTTTAATCGTCAACACACATTACACATTAAACGCTGGTGAACGTCGACAAACAAATCACTGAACGTAAACAACGCGATCAGCTGACTGCACCCCGGACTCTGGACTGCGCACGCGCAGTGAAGCGGCATTTAAACTTGTGTATTCATTTCGAAGATTTCGAAGCAGCACCTGGGGCTCCTAACCCTCAATCATTCTCGAAATTGTTTTGTTTTGATTTTCATTTCGGAGCAATCGTGAATTTAAAAAATGGAGAGTGCAGAGGAGCAGGGAGAGGGTGACAATGGGTTATCATCGACAATTGTTGAACCAGGGGACGTCGATGAGGATGAGATGAACACTATGAGGGGTGATACTGTTGGAGAAACCGCCTACAGTGGCAGTTGGATTCTAAAAACACTGATTTCCCTGTCAAAGGTAATTGGGGAAGAGTGAGGCAAAATAGGCAGTTGAGATTTTTTTTTTTAATCTTAATCACTCATTGAATTCCGGAAGCCATAATAAATAACTCATTGAATTAGGGGTGGGTGGGGTAAAATGGACACTTTGGACGTTTTTTAAATTATTCATAACTCAGAAGCAAATTTATCAATTGAGCTCAGTTTAGGCTGACCACAAAGGGAAAGAATTGTTCTTTGTATTGAAAAAAAATATATTAAATTTTATCAATATTTCAACCCCTCATTAACATTTTAAAAAAAGTCAAAAGTGTCCGTTTTACCCCAACCTCCCCTACTGATGAAATGGAATAATTTTTTATTCTTTGACAAGGGCAATCCGTTCCTTTCGTAATGAGCCTAGACTGAATTCAATTGATCATTTTGTCTCCAAGCTATGAACATTGAAAGAAAAGTAATGTGTTCATTTGCCCCACTCGCCTCTAATCATAATTATGAGAGTGGAAAAATGATAAGTGAATAAGTGATTAATGAATGAGTGATTGGACAGATTAATTAATGAATGAAAATTAATTAAAGAATGGTTGGAGAAATTAATTAATGCATGATTGGATATAGCAAGAATTGAGTAAATTAATGACTTTTGCTCAGCTTCCAGAAGAGGTGAAATGGTCCACTGACATAGAAGAAGATTTATGTTACTTGTGGGACATGACTGCAGAGAAGGACGTCGTATCATTTATGATTGAGAACCAGTTTTTATCCATTGCAGAGCATGTTTTAGACAACTCCACGGAGGAGAGACTGACGGTATGATAGTTCATACGACAGACGTCGACTTTATTTTCCATCATCAAGTTCAACATTTTTTTTCTAAAGATAAAATGAGACCTGGTTTATCTCAATAGGTCGATTTGATCAAGAACACTGATGATTTGAAAAGTTAATTTTACCTCGATTTCCCCGACGTCTAGAAAAGATGGTAAAATGGACACTTTTTACTTTTGTTTCAAATGCTAATAACTTATTGAACTGTTGATGAAATGGAGTAATTTTTTTTTCAATAAAAAGTACAATTCTTCCCCCTTATGATGAGCCTAGACTGAGCTCAATTGATGGATATATTTATGAGTTATGAATATTTTTAAAAAAGTCAAAAGTGTCCATTTTACCCCATTCTGCCCTATTCGTATTTTTTACGAACTGATTTCAAAATAAAATAAAATCATTTCGTGTTCTCCCCACTTTCCCCAGGAAATAATCGTAGGAATCACCGGAAATTTATGCTGTCAGTCTGATATTTTGTCTCGAGTAGCGGAAAACTCAGAGCTCGTGGATTCGTTACTGAGTATACTGCTCAGCAACGACACTGAGACATTAATTCAAGTCCTGAGGATACTCCAGGCTGCAGTATGGAATCTCCAGAGTGAAAATTGGAGTTCAAAGTGGTTGGAGAGCTTGAAGCAGTGCAAATTCCTTGGCGACTCCTTGATATTCATTCTAAAAAGTTCTACGAATGGTAAATGATCATCACTTTCCCTCTGAAATTCACGAGAATGAATTAAACAAATCGTATTGCTCATATTCAGAAGAAAATACATACTCGAAATGAATCAGATTCTTCTCTAGGCGAAATAAACTGATCAATTTCCTTCTTTAGAAAATCTGGTGATAGCTACACTAACTCTCCTGCAGTCCATCACCGCCATCGAAACTGAAAACTCCCTCCTCTTCAAAGAAACCTTCGACATGAAGTCCCTGTTACCAGCCCTAGTGGAAGCATTCTCCCAACTAATCCCACAAAGATCGAGTGATGAAATTCACAGCAGTAAAGAGTTGAAAGTAATCGAGAATTGGCTGGAGATTCTATCGAAAATCCTCGAGGTCTCTTCCCCAAATGTACGAGACGTTATTGAAAATGATGGGGCAGTCGTTAATTCGTTGATGCGAATACTGGAGCCGTACAAAACTCCTGAGAATCTCAAGATGATTGCCATGGAGGAGCCACAGATAATAGACTGCATTCATCAGACGATTGAACTTATCGAGTGGTTTCAAAAAAGTCGATTTGATGTTGATGTCACAGTGGTTTCTATTGTACTGGAGATCATGTATCAGTTGCATATTTGTGAGTGATTTTATTCGTGCACTCTTCTTTTTTTATTTCATTTTTTTTATTCATTTTTTTGCGTTTTAAAAAGTTTAATTTAATCATATTTTCAGAATAATCTCTAAAGTAAAAATGAATAATCAAAGATAAAATAAATAATATTCTTTATTTTATTTTTTATATTTACGGAAGATAAAATAAATAAGGAGATGTAAACTATTAGAATGCATGATCCCAAAAATCGAATAATTTTAAAAAATTGTTTTCAGTGACGAGTTCTAATTTCAACGAGACAGGGGAGAACCTGCGAGTGAAGGAGCTTCGAAAGTATCTAGAAACTTACTGGATAAAGTTGCAGTCCCCTGGAGGTCTCAACATTTCAGAACTTCTTGAACTTTCATCAGCAGAAACGAAGCATTATCTGATAAATAATTTCTGAAAGTCAAACTTTCCTAGCCCTGCAGCAGGAAGTGAATCATTTCATTCAATCGTTGCATTGTGATAAATTTCGATGGACGATGGGGCAGTAAATTTAAGTGTCCTTGACTGAGGCTCTACGATAACTATTGGCTAATGTAAAGGTGCACGTACGAGTGAGCATGAAAATTAATAATCAAACCGTAAAGAAGCTGAACTGAAACGAATATGCGACAAGAACAATGAATTTATTTTCACTGGAATCACAATTTACTTTCAAAACATCTTTGAAAGCAAAGGGGTTACTCTGATGTTCAGAGAAATTTCTCAAAGAAGTTCTTTGTGGAGAATTTAAAGTAAAAGCGGCATTTTCCAATTCGTTTTGTAGTCGATCCCTTGCGAAGTTTACCATGTAAATATCTCGAGAGTGATTAAAGTGAGACATTGGAATTCATGAATTCATTTCAAATTAAATCACAGATTATTTTGAGAATGTCTCTGAAAGCAAAGAGTTCACATTATAATGTCCAGATAAATTTGTCAAAGGATTTCTGTGACAAATTCTTGAAGTTTAAAAAAACATTTCAGTGATGTTTGCTAAATAATCTGCAAAACCTTGTGAACTTTGAAATTCTGAAATCAATTTTCTTGTGAAGTGTATGATGTAAATGAGAGTGATTAAAGTGAGACATTTGAACTCATGAATTCATTTCAAATTAAATCACAGATTATTTTGAGAATGTCTCTGAAAGCAAAGGGTTCACATGATAATCTCCAGATAAATTTGTCAAAGGATTTCTGTGACAAATTCTTGAAGTTTAAAAAAACATTTCAGTGATGTTTGCTAAATAATTTGCAAAACCTTGTGAACTTTGAAATTCTGAAATCAATTTTCTTGTGAAGTGTATGATGTAAATGAGAGTGATTAAAGTGAGACATTTGAACTCATGAATTCATTTCAAATTAAATCACAGATTATTTTGAGAATAGCTCGGAAAACCAAGGGTTCACATGATAATCTCCAGATAAATTTGTCAAAGGACTTCTGTGACAAATTCTCGAAGTTAAAAAGAACATTTCAGTGATGTTTGCAAAATAATCTGCAAAACCTTGTGAACTTTGAGTTTTCGAAATCAATTTTCTTGTGAAGTTTATTACGTAAATATCTCGAGAGTGATTAAAGTGAGACATTTGAATTCATGAATTCATTTCAAATTAAATCACAGATTATTTTGAGAATAGCTCGGAAAAGAAAGGGTTCACATGATAATCTCCAGATAAATTTGTCAAAGGACTTCTGTGACAAATTCTTGAAGTTTAAAAAAACATTTCAGTAATGTTTGCTAAATAATCTGCAAAACCCTGTGAACTTTGAGTTTCCGAAATCAAGAAAATGATTTCCAATAATGAAAATATCTCGAAAGTCATTAAAGTGAGACATTTGAATTCGTGAATTCATTTCAAATGAAATTACAGATTATTTTGAAAATATCTCTGATAGCAAAGGGTTCACTATAATCTCCAGATAAATTTGTCAAAGGATTTCTGCGTCAAATTCATGGAGTTAAAAAAAAACATTTCAGTGATGTTTGCTAAATAATCTGCAAAACCCTGTCAACTTTGAGTTTCCGAAATCAATTTCCGTGTAAAGTTTATTTTGTAAATATCTCGAAAATGATTAAAATGGGTGATTTAAACTTCTGAATTTGAACTCCAGAGTCCAATCCATTCTGCCCTTGTCATAAGCATGCAAAAGATTTACGTCAAGTATAAACTGGTGGGGGGAATGTGAAATGGAGATGACTCTGAGCATTCTATTTCGTTCGCAAATGCACGAACCAACGCAATGAGAACTGGTTAGTGGTTGCCATGTGGTCTTCTGTCTCTCTCTTCCTCTCCCCCTGATCGGGTCGATCGTGTGCTACACGAAGCGTTGACAGAGGACAATCTTCATGTTATTTACAAAATAACTCGAGGACACAACGAGATCCATCGAGATTAATAATAAACATCTGATAGAACAGATAAACAGTTGATCCCAGCCTGATTGGCAGCTGTTCCAATTCATATGAATCAATGATCCTGTCAACTTATTGGTTATAATATATTGCACAAGAAGAGCTTTGAGGATTTATTTGGGACGAATTGTACGATATACATTGATAATTTTAGCTTTCATTTGATAAGGATAAATATACGATTTTAACGCGATGCCAGAGACGGCCAATGACAATGTGAGTAAATTTTATTTTAAACTGAGTACGCGGTGACGTCTGCACGCGTTCGGAACGTCGAAGGGGGGACTATGCATGCACGGTTTTGCTTCATTCACTTTTCGTCTGTCCAGCTGACCACCTTGAAACGCAGTCATGTTTTCATGAGGAATCCCGATAATGTCAAGAGAATCATCGAGAGAATCAGGAGGGATGGGCCTGATAAACTTCAGGTGAGCTTTCAAGGATTTTTTGGAGGTATTTTTAGAGATTTGAGTTTGACGTTTTGGGACTGGGGCATTTGGTGTGTTGCAGATTATCAGCGATTTTGATCAGACTATCACCAAACAACATGTTGATGGAAAATGCTTGCGCAGCAGTTTTGGTGAGTTTATATATATTTTTAAAATTTGGGTTATTTGATTTTTTTATTGAATGGAGAAGTTTTTTGAGATTTAGGAAACTTGTGGATTCAGATGAAAATGAAGAGATGGGGTTGTTGTTTAGAGAATAGTCTGTACGAAAATGGAATTGAAGATTTTGTTATCATGTAGATAATAAAATTCTTTATAAAAGAGGGGGATGATCTCTTGATAGAATCAGTGAACAAGTTATTTTGCTGGCTAAATTTTTACAGATTTGTTGTTTGTACATAAATAATTGAAATTGTTTAAACTTTCGGAAACCTTATTTTTCTAGGCGTGACGTCGATTACTGGTAAAATTCTGAGTATCGAAAATTTGTTACGATTCCGAACAAATGATTTCTAGGGTGGGAAATTGATTGTTTCTAAATTATTCATAGAAATTGCTCGTAATTTTCAAAAATTGAATTTTTTAATTATTTCATCAGTCTTTTCCCAAAAGTAGACTTTCGATTTTTTTTTTAGTTTTTTAAATTTTTTTATAACGGCTCAATCACATTCTGTGGCTAAATATTTTCTACACATTCGCATACAAAATCGTGTTTGAAAATGAATAATTCAAACTGTTTAAATTTTCGGAAACCTCATTTTTTAGGCATGAAATCGATTGTTTACGAATTAATTTAAAATTGAAAAAAATTAAAATTACATTTTTTCAATTATTTCATCAATCTTCCCCCAAAAGTAAACTTTCTAATTTTTTTTAGCTTTTCAAAATGTTTTGCAACGCTTCAATATCGACATTGAAATTCAGACCTGCAAAGTTTAAATAATAAAATCATTGTAAAATATCTGGAAACTGGGTCTACTCGACTAAAAAAGTAGAAAAACATTTCAGCGGAGAAAAAATGGCCAAAGTACTAGGATGTCCTTAATTTGTTCGATTCTCTACTCAATTCTGTATCCAATTCTAGGAATTTTTTACAAATGTAAGCAAATACCGTCGGAAACCAAAGCGATGTCGACATCGCTCTACAACAAATACCACCCAATGGAGTTGGACCCTGACCTCGACGAGGAGTCAAAGATCAAGGCAATGGAGGATTGGATGATCGAGACTCAGAATCTGCTCAAGGACTTTGAGTTTGACACATCGGAGCTCGATGACGTGGTCCAGATCCACGGATCCTTCTTGAGGGACGGAACGCGGGAGCTCCTCGAGAGGTTACAAGCCGCCAATGTCCCAGTGCTAGTGTTCAGTGCAGGCCTGGGAGATGTCGTTGAACAAGTCCTCAGACACCACAACGTCTACCTGAACAACGTCAAGATCATCTCGAATTTCCTCAAGTTCGCGGAGAGCAAACTCGACGGATTCAAGAATGACGTGCTCATTCACGTGTTCAATAAAAATGAAAAGGTTCTTGATTCGGAGTACTTTGAGCTTCTGGAGGGGAGGAACAACGTCATCCTCATGGGGGACATAACGGGGGACGCCACAATGGCCGATGGCGTCAACGATTGCCAAGCTGTTCTCAAAGTTGGGTTTTTATACGGAAATGTAAGACTTTTTGATTTATTTCGTGGGTTTTCTGGCATTTCCAGACATTCACTGTTTGAAGAGCATTGAAATTTCCTGGATAGCTGGGGAAAAAGTTGTTGAATTCTAAATTCAGGGGAAAATTCAATTTATTTATTCCAATTTATTGAAAATTGGAGAGTATATTTATTAGAATTTTCCTGATTTCCATCCATTTTCTTCGGTTAACTGAACTAGAATTTATAAGTTTCATTGATTTATCAATAAAATTGTTGATTTTCAATGACAAAACCACTTAAAATCTCCAAAAAGTGTACCCGAAATTTCGGAAATAGAATTTAAAAATTCTATTCACAGAACAAATGACAGAAAAAGATTGATAGATCTGAATTATTCTATTCAATTCATTCTGATATTTTTTCTATTGAAAAAATATGGGTTTTTACACGGAAATGTAAAACTTGTTATTACATTTATGTCGCGCCGTGCAATAAGTCGAGCTTATCGCACGCTGCGCTTCGCGCAGCATGCTCACTGCTCGACTTCTGCACGACTTGACATAAAATATTATAGAGCACTCGGTAATAAATTTCGTTTTCAACGAATGTGTAGTTTACAGGCCGAGCCGAAGGCGAAATTTGTGCCCTTGTACTCTAATGTACTATTACTTCAGAACCAATATTAACCTTTGATAATGTTCTTAACAGGTGGAGCAGCGTCTTCCAGCCCACATGGAGGCCTTTGACATCGTCCTAGTTGACGACCAGACAATGGACGTCGTCAACGAAATTTTAAACGAAGTGTTTTGACAATTTTTAAGACATATTCCACGCACCGAGGATCATTGAACCTCTCTCGAGAAATGGAGAGGCATAAATCAACTATTGTATTAGGTCATACTTTTATCGACATCTTTTGAAATGTAATTTATTCGCCTCGCTGTGTCGATCGTGTTACAACGAATGATATCGATATATATTTTGTATTTTTTTTCTGGATACTTTAAGAGTACTTTTTTCTCATCTGTTGTGACAGAATGAAATAAATTGTGGAGATGGAAGGAGATTTTAACGTTTGGATTATTTTTGACATTTCAATTATTCTTGAGTTTAAACGAACATCAGTTTTTTTATCATCAAAACACTCATTTTTTATTAATTGGATTGAAACGAGTGCCTTCCTTACTTCATTAATAAAGTGGGACAAGTGGGCACTTTCAATTTTTTCAAGTTTAACAATTCAACGACAATTTAACAACAGATTTATCCATTGAGCACTAGGGGAATAATCATCATTCCATTTCATTAACAATTCATTCAGTGATTGACATTAAAAAAAGCTCAGTGTCCATTTTGTTGCTGTCCACACTGTTAGAATTTTTTTGAAATTCAAGTAACAGATGCATTTGAATTTTCAATATTCTGAACTTGAATTCAATTTCAGACTAAATTGCTCACGGAATTCCTGATTCATCTTGGCAATTGAATAAATTGAGTTTTTCGTTATGAACGATCATTTAATTTTCAATGACAATTCGGATTTTAAAACCTAGGGGAGGTTGGGGTAAAATGGACACTTGACTTTTTTAAAAATTTTAATGAGGGGTTGAAATGTTGACAAAATTTAATAATTTTTTTTTCATTGCAAAGAACAATTCTCTTCCTTTGTGATGAGCCTAAACTAAGCTCAATTGATAAATTTGTTTTTGAGTTATGAGTAATTAAAATAAAAGTCTAAAGTGTCCATTTTACCCCACTCACCCCTCTCGCGAAAATTAAGCAACGAATTGAAAATTCAGAAGAAAAGTTGCCTGAAAAGTTGAGAAATCAAATTTCATTGAATATTCACGAACATTGACTGATCTATCAACAACAAGATCGATGGCAATTCACGTAAATTATTCGTTGTTAAAAATTTCAAGATTTTTTGCTTGAAATCTCAAGAGTAATTTTCTAACAGCGAGTGTGTCTAATCAACGAGAGAAACGTCGACGTTAAAACGTTCTTTTTTTCTAAAACCTCCAGGTCATGGGATTCTCCACGAAAAAATTCTCTCGGCCGAATCCCGAGATCTGTTCCCCTCGAGGCTAAACTCTCAACAACCAACGAAAATGTCTCAACTTACCTAGTTTACCCCTCAATGATTGGATTCTCCCACTCGCCCCTGCTCTGTCGACACCACACGAATGTTTTCAAAGATGTTCCATCAATTCCGAGCTCAATGACACATGTTTTGTTTGTAAATGGCGCTCCAGTTTATCCACGAAACCGATAGCCAAGAGTGAAATGACAAAAAATGTAACGGTTTTCCAAATCCTCGTCGCCCCCCCCCCCAGTCAAAATTCCACAACTTCGCAATTGCACTTGATTACTTCACCAACAATCGGAAATAACTGAACGCACATAACTGAACGCACGAGTCGAAACAAAACAAAGCTATCAGCGAAATGGAGAAATTGAAATGTCCGTTGTGCTTGAATTTTCAATAGATCGAACCGTTGATACGACGCGGAGACGCGTTTCTGCCTGCGAATCAGTAGCGACTGGCAGACCGGCACGCCGAACGTCTACAGTGTCCCTCGCCCTTTACGATCGTGTTTTCAGTGACTTTTAGTGACGATTTATTGTGGTTTTTTTATGAGAAAAGACAAAGGACAATTGGTTGATGATTTGGGGAAATATTTTTGGGAATTATGGGTGAAGTTAATAAAGAGGAGAAACGAGGTAACCGGGCGATTTGTGAGGAATCAATGCGGCATTGGGTCACCTCGGGACGACTGTTGTCCCCGTGGCAGGATGGAAACAATAACAATGCCAAAAGAATGCTCAGGCGAAGGTGAAGATGATTTTAATTTCATTATTTTTAGGGGAGAGTAGGGTAAAACGGACTTTTTTAACTTTTTTTGAAATATTCATGACGTGTTGAATTGTTCGTGAAATGGAATAATTTTATTTTTCAATTGAAAAACAATGATTCCTCTTTGTGATGAGCTTAGACTGAGCTCAATTGATAAATCTGTTTCTGAGTTATGAATATTTTTAAAAAAGTTAAGTGTCCATTTTACCCTACCCTCCCCTACCTCTGTTTTTTTTTCGTTTTTTCGTGGTTCAGGATGATTATGACGAAATTATGTGCGTAATGGGGGGTTTGGAGAAAAATGTCAAGAGATTTTTTCTGCAGTTGAGAAAATTTCACAGGGAAAACGGCTTTTGACATTTTTGTTTAACATTACTCATCTCTGAGACATTTCTGTCGTTAAAAACTGCTGAAGTAATTCAGTTTTTCAGAAATTAAGACAGCATGATTAATTGATCGATAATTAGTTATTGTAATGGCTTAATTTAATTAATCAATTTGGAATTTGTCTGGAAACGAGAATTAAAGAATTTCCGGAACTCTCCCATTTATTTTTTTCTTTTTTTCCTTAGTATTATTCGAGTTTTTCTTAGCTTTTTTGACGTTTATTGATCCCTGATCGACCCCTCGTTAACCCCTTGAATGTCTCAATTTAGGCCTTTTTTTTCAATTTTTTTTCTGAAATTCTTTGAAAGTACTCATCTGTGAGACAATTAAATTGTTAAAAACTATTGGAGTAATTTAATTTTTGAAAGTGTAACATTTTTTAATTTGACAATTCCGAAATGAAGGGAAAATTAAGAAAAGGTTTTCTCGAAATACAGTTTTATCATTTCTCACTACCGAAATAATTATTTAAAAAATAATGTAATAATGTAATGCAACAATTCTTTTATTATGTTAATTAACTTGAAAATTATCTCTCTTCATACCCGTATGAAAAAAATTTAATCGAAACTCTTAGCGAATTCGTTAGAAATTGCTATTAAAATTCTCTGGAAATTCTATAGAGATTCTATTCAAATTCAAGTGAATTCTCGTTAAAATTTTATTTGTTTTTGCGCAGATTCTATTACATATTTGATAAGAAAAGGTCAATGGATTTCGATTTTTCCGGTTGAATTCTTTTCTTGAGATTTTTTCTATTAATTTTTTTTGTATTAAAATTATTGAACACGGATTTCCCAAGTTTTCTAAATTCATGCCCAAATATTCTTATGGAAAAAATTGCGAGAGAATATTCATACAGAAAAATCGAAAAATCTACTAGAATTTCTAAAGAACTCCAATAGAATTTCCTAATGAATTCTGCAACTTTTTCTGGTAAATTTTTTCATACATGTAGCTGTGAACATTTCCTGCAAGTCCTCTTGACGCTCAGCACTATAGGGGTGGGTGGGGTAAAACGGACCCTTTAGACTTTTTTAAAATTATTCATAACTCAGAAACAAATTGATCAATTGTGCTCAGTTTAGGCTCGTCACAAAGGGAAAAAATTGTTCTTTGTATTGAGAAAAAAAATTATTAAATTTTATCAACATCTCAACCCCTCATTGACATTTTAAAAAAAGTCAAAAGTGTCCGTTTTACCCCAACCTCCCCTAATTCTAGAATTTCCAAAAGATGTCATATTCCGCTTGCAATCTCCCAGCCCACTCCACAATTCGATCTTTCACTGTCTATTATCCACTCGTTTATGACTATTTCACGGCTCCACCTCTTCCCCGCACACTACCATCCATCATTTTACCTGTGCAATGGTTATTATATTGCTCCAAGTGCAGTGCGATAAGCCCCGACGAGCAATTCCAGCTCAATAATGTAGTAGTTTGAACTTGACTTTGGCTACATGTGCACTGTGGTATTGAAAACGAGGGCCTCCTTTGATTAGAACTCATGGGCGATCGTCAAGAAATTGCTCAGGAATTGCAGGGTTCATTCGCTTGTTGCAGGCTCAGCTTCAATGGGGACAGGATGGCGAATTCCCATCGCCAGGTAGTCAATGCTTATGAGGATGAGAGTGATTATGTTAACGTGACGAAGAGTGAATTAAAAACAGGTAATTCCAGCAAAACGTGAAGTCACTTCAGTCACTTTTTTCACGCGTCATCATTAATTTCGCTTTTTCGCTCTGGTTTTTTTTTTTTTTTTTGTATTGCAGCGGACACTTCGGCGTGGGACGATGAGACGAATAATTCAGACAGTGACGTGAAGTCCAAGTAAATCCTCTTTTTTCGTTCAATAAGTTGGAATTAATGCTTTTGTGACTCTTTCTGTCGTGAAGTGGTTGACAGATGAGAATGAGAATTTCATGGGCAAAAAAATTTAATAGAAAAACCTATCGAATTCGTTGGAAAATTCTATTGAATTTGTATTGAACTGTTCTATTAGTTTTTGGCCGATTCTGTTGAAATGTTCAATAGAAAATATTCAGTAGAAAAAGTCAATAGAATTCAATTTTTCTATGAAACTTATTCTATTGAGATATTTTCTATTGAATTTTCTCGGCTCAGATTTTCCAAGTTTTTTCGTTTGATTTTCTTGATGAGAAAAAAAGAAAAATAGAATGAAAAAAAACTTGGAAAATTTGAGTCGAGAAAATTCTATAGAAAATATATGAAATGAATAAGTTATATAGAAAAATCGAATTCTGTTAACTTTTTCTATTGAATTTTTTCTATTGAACATGTCAATAGAATCAGCCAGAAATTAATAAAAAGTTTAATAGAATTTTCTAACGAATTCGATAGGTTTTTCTATTAAATTTTTTCGTGCGTGTTAGTGAAAGAAGAAAAATGTATTGTGAAGTCCACATTTCTTCTCAGATTCACTGGCTCTCGAATTATTTTGGAAGGAGTGGAAATTAATGTCAACCACTTCACGGCGAGTTAAAGACATCGATTGATGGATTATCATCCTCAAAGGTTCGACGAAGCATTCAGTGAGGGATCAACGACATCATCAGCCTACAAAGATGGAGATAATAACACTGAAGTTGAGCTTCGGGTGCGGGTCCGCCGGTTCGATGAGGAGAACGCCTGGCTTCGAGATGAATTGGCTCGAGCCGAGGAATTGGCTAATGAGTACCGACGACAGTTACACCTGTTCCAACAGAAATTGTAATTCGCTGTGAATTTAAACAATTATTTTGTCTATTAGGAATAACTTTGTTTGGGAATTTCTACATCGAATTGTTGATAAGAATAATTCTGGATTCTTTTTTATTCACTTTTGATTAGCAATCGGTTTAAATGAAAATTTCTTGTGATAATCTTACAATAATGTTTATTAATTTTTTTCTGAAATAGGGAAGACATTTGTGTGAATGGAATTATCTCGAGAATAAGTGGCTTCAATAAAAAGAAAATACTGTTAGATTTACGAAAAACCTTTAGACATTTTTTGTGTAATTAATTTTTCTCGACATAATTCCGGAATTATCATCAAATATTAATTTCAGAAAAGAGAAATTACAAATTACCTTATTTGCAGATTTCTATATCAAATTAGCAACAAAAATCAATTATCTTCTTGAAAATGTCATCAAATATTTCACTAAATCCACGTCTTTCTGAGATAATCACAGAATAGTCTGTTAATTTTTTTGTTAAACAGACCAGATATTTATTCTAATAGAATTATCTCGAGAACAAGTGGCTTTAACAAAAAGAAAATACTGTTAGATCGACAAAAAAAACCTCTTTACACTTTTTCCTATATTTAGTTATTCTCAAGATGATTCCGTAATTATCATAAACTATTCATTTCCCGGGAATTTTCCAGGGATCAAATGCGAGAAAAATGTGACCAGTTGCTGAAAGAGAATGACGAACATAAGGAAAGGATAAATATGGTAGAGGCACAGGAGAGGCGATGTCAAGTGGCACTCCAGAGGATAGACAAAGAGCGTAATGCACTTCTTGAAAAACTGAAAATCGATGTATGTGAATATTTAATCACCACTTCTTTCCGATCTGAAAAATGTATGCAAATTCATTATTTTTATGCAGAACGAAACTTTCAATCGCAGCCTCGAAGAGTTGAACCGAGATAAACTCTACTGGAATAAGAGATTGTCAATGTGTGAGGCTAAATTAGAGGAGAAGGAGATTCAGTGTGCCACTCTGCAGAAGAATCTTGATGATATGAATGACTTAATTGCGAGTTTGGAAGATGAATATGAGAAGAAAATTCGAGTGAGTCAATGCATCTGGGGAATATCGATTTAAAAAGGGGAAACTGAAACAATTCGATTCAAATTTTGACTTAAATCTTTATTACTATTATCATTCTGCTGATCATTATTATTTTTAAATGGAGAATTAAGTTTAGATCTTGGAAATTTGAAAATGTTCGATAATTTACGAACTACCTGACATTGAATTTATTTCCAGTATATGCAAGACAAAAGTGACGATTTGACGAGTGAAAACGTCGAGTTGAAGATGCGGCTATTGACCCTCGATTGCCCAACCTCCCTGGATCAAGAGGTAGGTTGTGACACTCAAAAATAGACTCAATGGAGATAACAAGGAATTTATTCATTCGCAGGCTTGCCTCACGTCGACGAGGTATTTGGACTCCTCAGACGAGAATCTGAAGTATCAGAATGACCAGAAAGTCCAGCTCGAGGAGTCGTTGTATGCGGAGTTGAAGGCCTCGGTGAGTTGGTGATAACAATTGAATTACTGAAAACATCACATGAATTGGAAAATGCAGTTCTCATCAATTTTTTTTGTATTTTGTGTTCAGGGGTTTTCATGCTACGACATGAAGTGTGAATCGAAAATTCGAGAGTTGGAACTAGAGGCAGATTGGTGTAACAGTGAACTCGTCGAGGCTGGAAGGCAAATTGAAAAGTACGATTAACAATGCAAAATATAATTGTAGATAATTCTTTGAATATTTCAATAGTTTACCCAAAATTCTTGAAGAGGTCTTGAAGAGGTTTTAAAATTCATCTCTAAACATCCGTGGATCCCAAATATATTGAAAAATATCTCAAGAATTATTTTTAAAAACTGACAGACTCAATTTTTTTATTGTGCAAATATTTTCAAAAGGCAACATTTCTTCACAATTTTAAAAATCTACCAAACAATTTCAGTACTTGAAAAACATCACTTCATTCGCCAGATATATTGAAAAATGTCTCAACAATAAAAAAAAAATAACAGACTGAATTTTTTTATTGCGCAAATATCTTCAAAAGGAACAGTTTGACCAGAATTTTACAAAAAAATTTGAAAATTAAAAAAAAGTCACTCAATTTCCCAGATATATTCAAAAAAATTGACACATACTCCCAAGAATCATCAACGAACTCAATCCATCCTTTTAATTTCCAGAATAATCAACTTTATACGGAAAACCAAGCGATATAGTTCTCCATCAAGAACCCCAAAGTCCCCCAACACTTCCGACTTGGAGATATCCCCAATCCTCCTAATATTCGAGAGAATAAAGCAGCTATCCCACGAGGTAAGCCCAAAAAATCAGTCTCCACAATGTCCAGTGATACACGTCACAGATAAAAACCACTCCATTATTATGATAATATTGTCAGCTCTCCGTGCATCACTCAGTTTCTTTCCAGGTGTCAGAAGCACTGAAGAAGCCATCAACGACTGATTCAAGTTCACAGGTCTCAGCCGATCCCCGAATAGCCAGTGAATATCTCAAAGAATTTTACATCCAAACGTTTCAAGATTATCTGGACTCGCCGTGAGTAATTCATTCCTTACAGATTGATTTGTCATCAATAAATTCAGTCATTCCAGGTGATAATCGCCTAATGATTTTATTCATCAATCAGGAGAGCGTTTAGACGATCAAACGAAATATCTATAAGCATCCGCGAAAATAGAGACAGGTTGTGCCAATCTCCGTTGCAAGGCCATGAGTTACGCGACGTATAAATAGAGAGTCCGCATTGCTGTCCTTCGAAAATTGCCGGGTTATACCGAGTCATGCCTCATGCCTGTTGACCCGATTGCACAGTTTTCCCGAAAATTAATGTAATTTTCCATGATTTTTAATTTTTCACGATTTTATTAATGGATTCACAAAAAAATAGACAGAAAAAACAATAGATTTTAGATTCGATTCGTTAAATTACTGCAATTTTTCACGATTTTTAATTTTTCTCCATTTTATCGATGCATTGATAAAAAATAAACAGATAAAACAGTAGATTTTTTTATTCGATTTGTTGAATATGAGATTATCGCGAGCAATTAGTGAAACTTTTGAATTTGGCTTTAATCATATTTCAACAATTACACAGATTTTTTATGTCCTTGAATTAATGGTCATCACTGCAGTCATTCGCATTCGAAGGGAAACAGAAGAGAACAGAACGGAAATATAATTTGTTTAATATTCTATTCAAGCTTGCGTTAGTATTTTTCCGTTTTCGTGACTATTCCACTTCGCTCCACAATGAAATGCTCAGAAGAGGAAAAAATAGTGGTGTTTTGTGTTTCGTATCACTTCCACACGATTCTTTGACGAAACAGCACGACACAAGAGCTAACGATTCTGTAATGAGTCGGTGCAGTCTATTTATAACGAGAAATAGTGAAAAATCCATTTATTCAAATGCTCAGTTTTTTATTTGCTATTTCTTTCCCTCTGCACTTTTTTCAAGGGATTCCATCTGTGAGAAAAATAATGGCTTTCATCCAAAAATATTCATAGGACATTCCTCATAGTAATAAAATAGATTTGGCTATTTTTTGAGAATTTGTATTATGAATTACATTATGAAAGCTACAGAAAAACTCATGTGTAAGAAATAACTTCCACTTGAAAATGAAATTTAAGAAAATTCATACACAATGCAATCGAAATTGTAAAAATGTTATTTAAATTCCCGATAACCTCATCATTTAATTTTTCTGAATAAAATACTCAATGAAATAATTACTACGAAAGGCCCTAAAAAGCGTCCCGCATAAAATCTCTCTCATGCTCTCAAATAAAACCCCGTCAAATCCATAACAGCAATTGAACCTCAGAAATTGAATTTCTGTTCAGAGTGGTTATCCTCGCATATGACCCTGATGCTCCAATCAGCTACACACATACCTCTTCGCGCCCCTCGTAATTGGGTTAATATCAATGTTAACCAGATGTGGACACAACACAATTCAACACCGTCCCAACATTCTAACGACTCTAATGCGCCTGACAAACATCGACTCTCCCCCCAGCTCCAGTGGCGAAAAAAAAACCCGAGAGAATCCATTAAAAAATGCCTTAAGGATGTCCAAGTATTTTGGATATTTTTTCTCCAGTGAAATGCTTTTCTACTTTTGTAGTCGATCATCGGAGGTTTCATTTAAGCCCCATTTCCCCTAAATTTTCGAACATTTTACAATGATTTTATTATTTACACTTTGCAGGACTGAATTTGAATCTCGATATTGAAGAGTTAGAAAACATTTTAAAAATCTGAAAAAAAAAATAGAAAGTTTACTTTTGGAGGAGGAGCGCTGAAATAATTTAAAAATTGCAATGTTTTGAAATTACAAGCATTTTCTATAAATAATTCATAAACAACGACAAAACGTAATTTGAATGACGCTGAATATTTATGATTTTTTTCAAATTTTTCTCACGCAATCTAAATTCAATTATTATTAAGTACTTTGGCTATTTTTTCTCCAGTGAATTACTTTTGTAATTCAACTCAGCTTGCGGACATTTTACAATGATTTTATTATTTAAACATTACAAAACATTTTAAAGAGTTAAAAAAAAACAGAAAGTTTATCTTTGGGGGAAGAAAAAATTGCAATTAAAAAATCCCTAAAAAAATAAGATTTCCGAACGTTTAACTAATTTCACATAATTAACAAATTTACAAAATTAATTGACAAATTTGATGATTGAAAATGCTTGAATCTACAGTGTGGTCTCTACCAAACTGTAAAAGATACTTGGATATCCTTAAACCACTGGCTTCCTTGATTCCCCGTTCCGCTCTTACCATAATTTCGCTGTCTGTCGTTCACCTTGACAATTTGATCTCTCTCGGTCATGCAGTCCGAGAGGCTCTCGCGAATGGTAATACCTCCCGCGAAACTCGTTCACATATTTTTTTCATTACTCATTTCTTCATGTTCCAGTCGCTGCATTAATCCCCATTCCGCTCTACCTTTTCCGTCTGGTATTAAATCTCTTTTTGTTCTCCATACCCCACCACCGAGTTTAAAATACGAGTTATCTCGCGCTCATTCAGTTGGCGGGACGGGAAGACATTGTCAAACGGGTGGAGGAAGAGTTGGTTGTTGCACGCGCGTGCACGGAAATCGAAATTATCAAAATTCTTAAAATAAAATTACCGCGATCGTGGGCAAATGGGTGAATAAGACCGAATAAAAGTTGACGTGCTTCACCTATTCGTCTCAATCCCAGACGATTGTTAATGTGAGTAGAACTTCCTCATCTAATAGCCCTTAGTTACCAACTGGTGAATCTCGTTTCCTGATTGAACGTTGCACGATGCAATTTGTTTATACAATTAGCTCTCAAGGCCCCGGAACGCCGACGAACTCAAATTCCCCTCGTCCGCACGACTGGAATGCCTCACATTTTCAACCGAAAAAAAAACCCAATCTTCATACGCAATAGTAGCTGATCCTCAATGTCTATTTATTTATCTTCCTCAGGATCAAGGTACCAGTACCAGTGGAAACAAATACACCGAATGTATTTTTGACGTGCAGAGCGTCGGAGATCAAGGATAAAATCGAGTTGGTTGATGCCAAGCAGTTGGGTCTTGATATTAAAAATAATGTGACAAATATCGAGGACCTGGGGTCATCGAACGCCGTTGGTTCAATGTCTGCTGTAGCATCTGCATCGCACGACGACATTTCTTCATTTTTTGTTAAAATTCAGAGTGAAACGAAAATAAATTCATGCACTGGGGAAGTTTGTCGGCTTTCGCCAGTGGGTCAGGAGAATCTGTCGGTGAGTGAATTGGCATCGGTGGACTGTTCGATTGGAGATAGACAATCGCAGGAAGTGGAGCGCGAGGATTGTCGGGGGATTGATAAATCTGATATGTCAGTGAGTGAAAAAATACCGAGGAGAAAGATATCGGTGTTTCAACGCTCCTTCGACATTGACACAGTATTCGAGGTGCAGGACGGAGGTGCTGTGTCGGAGTCACACAAACTCAGTGAGAGATGTGGACGAACGAGTGAAACGGACAACTGTCCTCCAAACGTTTTAATTGATAATATCGATGATGATCGGTCGAGGATTGAGGGCGTCACTGGGTACAGGACGACAGCTGACGTCAGTCAATCGTCTGATTCGTCGGGGGGTTCACCGGGTAAACTTGGTACTTGGAGGGAGGAGGATTCGTCGGTTGATAGTGTTGAGACGAAAATTGAGGGGAATTTTCTGGCACCTGCTAGACTGAATTTATCGAGAGTTCGGGGTGTGGGGGATGCAGCTGGGGCTGGTGGAACTGATGGGGCGAGGAGTGACTGCGGTACGGGTGGCGAGAGGAACGCCAGTATCGAAATCACTGGGGATGGGAAAACATCAGTTACACGCGCGATGTCGAGTGGAGAGGACAGCTCCGACGATTCCGAGTCGGATTCCACGGAGATTGGGGGGAAGTTCCAGGGGGTGACCGGGGATTCGGGGGAGAGTNGGGGGAGAGTTGGGGGAATGATCGTTTCTCGAGGGGCAGTGATGACAGGAGCGGATTTAAGGCGCCCAGGGATGGCAGAGATGAGGTATTTTTGGATTGTTGTCAAGTTATTTGATTGTTTTTTCGGGACGGGCAGTGGTTGGTTTTTGGGGGGAGAGTGGTGGAGGGAAGTGGGTTTTATTTGGGTGTGGGGAACGGCGGTCTGTGGAGGGTACACTGGGACAATGTCATTTTTAAGGGAAGTTTGTTTGGTCATTTGGAAGAAGAAATGGAGACGATTTGAAGACTTTGACAGGTAGTTGATTAGTTTGGTGAATTTTTATTGTTTTGTTGTAGTTTAAAATGAAATTCCAGCTTTTGAGAGCGATAGGGCATTTTAGGCGGGGAAAAAAGCTTCAGATTTTAGATTTCACTGAAATTTCAAATTTTGGAGCGGCGAGACAGGGGAATTCCCCGATGAATTATTACCATTTTCGTGGATTAATTCAACTGAAATTTACGGTTTCCATTTATTTTTCCATAAAATTTTGAATGTTCGATAACAAAATTCGTCGAAATTTCAGTGGAATAATATAATCAAATTTCCAAGAAGTGTTATATTTTATTTTATGGAGTTAGTCTTTTTTTTAAATTTTTATCTTCCTCCTCCATGAAGATTTCTTAGAATTCCTCTGAATTCAATCAACGAAGATTGTTTTACCCCTTCACTACTGATTACAGATTTTTTTTTATACATTTGCACTATTGGAAAAAAATGAAATCAATTTTTGATAGTGCCATGGGGTTTTCTTCGAGGAAAAAAAAATCATCAAATTTCGGATTTCCCTGAAGTTTCAAATTTTGCACACCAAGAAGAAGAGAATTCTCTCACGACTAATTATTCCAATTTTCATGGGATAATTCAACTGAAATTTACAGTTTCCAGTGAGTTGTCCGTAAAATTAGGAATTTTCGATGACGAAATTCCTAGAAATTTCAGTGGAACGGTATAATAAAATTTCCAAGAAGTGTTATCTTCTAGTTTATGGAGTCAGTCCATTCATATATTGCTATTTTCCTCTTTTCCTAATCGTTAATGAAGAGTTCTTAGAATTCCTCACAATCAAATCAACGAAGATTGTTTTACCACTTCACTCCTGATTTATTTATTTTTTCTCTCCGATGAATAGCAATTGTGATTGCATAGCAATTGATATTAATTGCGCAGCTACGTACTTCCTGGTGGAAGATTAATTAACTTTGATTAATTTGTACTTGGTGATTTGCGAGTGGGTTATTGAAACAGACTGACGATTGGAATTGTGTTATGGGGCTGTGTGGATTCGGTTTGGCAATTTTTGAGGAGTTTTGATGGATTCCAGCGGGCGCCGAGGATCAGGCGATCGATGAGCGAGGGTGAGAACATCGATCTCGGCGGGGGCGACAGTTGTCGCGGGTGTAGCAATGGTCAGGGGGAGGATAAGAGGCAGGGGAGCTTCAAGAAGGAAGTGGATGCTGTTGCCTTTCCCAGTCTCACTGATGCGAGACTACAGGAGTCCGGAATTGCGCAGCTTTCGGAGAGTGAAGATCTTGAGTGAGTTTATTCTCCAGTCATTTTATTATCACACTTTTCTCAATTTTTTAATTTTAATATTGAAGATATTCAACTGAAATTTCATTATTCCTCTTATTTTTTGGTTTTTAAAAACGACGATTCAATCAATTCCATTAAATTATCGCATAAAAATTAGAAGAATTAAAATAATGGCAAAAATAATCAATCCATGAATTTTAAATTGAATGAGTGTATTCTTCATTCATCCATTCATTTTATTATCACACTTTTCTCAATTTTTTAATTTTAATATTGAAGATATTCAACTGAAATTTCATTATTCCTCTTATTTTTTGGTTTTTAAAAACGACGATTCTATCAATTCAGTTAAATTATCGCATAAAAATTAGGAGAATTAAAGTAATGGCAAAAATAGTCAATCAATGAATTTTAAATTGAATGAGTTTATTCTTCATTCATTCATTCATTTTATTATCACACTTTTCTCAATTTTTTAATTTTAATATTGAAGATATTCAACTGAAATTTCATTATTCCTCTTATTTTTTGGTTTTTAGAAACGACGATTCAATCAATTCCATTAAATTATCGCATAAAAATTAGAAGAATTAAAGTAATGGCAAAAATAATCAATCTATGAATTTTAAATTGAATGAGTTTATTCTTCATTCATTCATTCATTTCATTATCACACTTTTCTCAATTTTGTAATGTTAATATTGAAGATATTTAATTCAAATTCCACTATTCCACTTATTTTTTGGTTTTTACAAACGACGATTCAATCAATTCAACTAAATTATTGAATAAAAAATCAGGAGAATTCAAGTCAGGGCAAAAATAATCAATCAATGAATTTTACATTGAAATGATTTTATTCTGGTGTTTGTTTATTATTGTTTTTAGGGGGAAAGACTTGACCGAAGAAGACCTCGAGGTAATTCTCATTTATTCGTAATTATTTAGAATTAATTCAGTATTTAAATTCGCTCTTTCCAAAATATTTCGAGAAATAATAGGTTTAGAAGGAGATATCAATGGATTTTTTTAAACCTCTTTAAACTCTCCACAAAATCTATCCCTCGACCCTTGTTTCTCGTTTAAATCCCTTAATCTCCAAGATATTCGCGAAATAAAATATCAAAAATTATTCTACTGAAAAAAACTCTAACTCATCTGAAAATGCCCAAACTCCAGAGGAAGTTCGTAGCCTTCTCCCTGGGTCTGTGCACAGACCGCGTGACATTGCCTCGACGAAGAGCCCTAGCCCTTCGCCAACGAGATTACACTGAGCACGATCTCGCCGTTGAGATCGCGAAAATGCAACAGAGTATTCAGGCAAGCGAAAAAAAAACACTAAATTCATTTGTGAAATTTCACAAGTTATTAGACGATTATGAATACTCTAGGAGTTTGCGCCCCTGTGCTTCGACAGCGAAACGGTCGAGAGGATCGAGCTTGCATGCCATCAGGTAGAAATAATAGCCCAGTGTGCGCACAGAGTGTCTTGCACTGCTGAAACACTAGGTGCCATACAGCAGGAGTACAGAATATCACGCGCCATTCACCTTGCTGATCGGTTTCTGAAGATACTCAGGAGTAGGTGTGAGAAACTTACGGCTGAGGTGGCTGAGAAAAAGTGAGGGATCTCATTTGCTAGGGTTTTACGAGTATCCAAGTACTTTGAATTTTTTTTTTAGAGATTTCATTCATTCATTTTCGTGACTTTTTGTCTGAATATCAAGCATTGGGAATTTTTTTGAGATGATTTCAACCTTTGGATAGATATTTCCTTCATCTCCAAGGGATGATTACACTATCAGAAATTTCCGGTGGACACTTTTTGGAAATTTTTATGACATTATAGTTTCAATGAGATTTGGAGAAATTTCGTCATTGAAAATGGTAAATTTTATGGTCAAATCAAAGAAAATTGTTAATTTTAGGTAATTTATTCCATGAAAATTCATAAATATCAGAAAAACTCAAGTAAATATATTCTTAAGTTGGATAAGTTGAGGAATTCTCATCTTTCGGCTAAGAAATCTGAAGTTTCATTGAATTTTTTAATGAAATCTAAAATTCTATTATTCTTTTCTTCCTCAATCGAATTCACTGTCATTGTTCTGAAAATTAGAATAGCCAAGTGTCCATGAAAGTTAAAATTTTTCCCGACAGTGTATTCTAAAATAGAGTAGACAATATAAACAAATTCAGTATATTTCACATTATGCCCCATTTTTATTTTTCTTAAGTATTTTAGTGAATGGCTTATCAATTAGAAATCCTCAAATCCTCATTTGATCATTTTGCATGAATTTTATTATTCAAAGTCCCAAACATTTCAAAAATCTGAAAAAAGTACATAATCATAACTGAAAAACAATCAATTTTCTGAAAGTTTGGAACTGAAATCTTCAACTGGAATTGTTTATAAATATTTGTCTATTTATTTTAGACAAATAACTAATGGCAAAAGGTACTTGGATAGTCTTAAATCAGTAATGAACCGATTTTTTTCGCTGGAGAGTGGATTCACTGGGAATTAAATATCTTCTAGGCGAGTCTTAGCGGAAAATAACATTGTCATTGACGAGGGCAATGGAGAGGGCGAGGGGCTCTCCTCAGCTGTGAGGTATCGCGCTCTGTCACCCACCACCAATCGTACGATGGTACATTAATGAAAATAAATATGAAGCTTCATTCGCTAATGGGATTTATCAGTCTCGGGCTTTTGATTTTCTTCACAATTGCTGCTTTTGCGAGGGTCTGGGAATTTAGCACTTGTCACTTATGGATAATATTTTTGCAGATGGCTAGGAGACGTGCGAGTATTGCCACGATTTTCCGACCCATTGGAATTGCCCAAGAAGTGACAAAAGTAATTTTAGGGGAATACTCGTGAGAGAGTCTTGAAAGGGGAATGGGGCTCTTGAAATTAAATTTTTGCTGATTTTTTTATACAAATTTTGGAAATTCGAGGGTGAATGGAATTCGAGGTGAATTTAATTTGACTAAAATTCATAAAGAATTCCACAAATATCCAACAGTGTAATTTCTTGTATGAAAAAGTTTAATAGAAAAACCCAGTGATTTCTATTGGATTTCTATTAAACTTTCTATTGTTCTCTGGATGATTCTATTGAAAAATTCATCTGCGCGATTTTTCCAATGGAAATATTTAATGGAAAATATTGTACAGAAAAAATCAATAGAATTCGATTTTTATGTACGACTTATTTTACTGAGATTTTCTATAAAAATTCTTCGAGTCAAATTTTCCAAGCTTTTATTCAATTTTTTCAATCGAAGGAGCAGCCAAAAAGTGGAAAAAACTGAAAATTGTTGAGCAAGTAATATGAACAAGGTCTCAATAGAAAAAGTTGCACAGATAGATGAAATTCTACTTATTTTACCCATAAAATAGTTTCTATTGGACATTTTCTATTGAAAAAAACACGTTTACTTGCAGTAAACCTGCGGAATTGCTGTATAGAATCGGGCAAAAACTAATAGAATTTTTGATCGAATTCACCACTGAAATTCTTTACTGAAATATGTTACGCTCAATTGACCTTTATTAATTTTAATAAACTAAAATCCACCATTTGTGGCATAAAAAATCACAAAAATGTAAGATTATGAACCAATTCTACTCCGGAGGCTCTCTCACTCGGATATCCTTGAGACAATGCCCCGCTAATTGAGTGGAATCTTTTAGGATAATATTAGACAGAGGAATTCAGTCTCTGGTAGAGTCACCATAAGGAGGCCCTCGTTTAGCTCCGAGCCCCAGAGATTCGAGACCGAAAAGTTGACCAGAACAGAGTAAGAATTTTGTTTGTAAGAGTAATGGAGTTGTTTTCGAAACGTGGGATATTGATGAATGAGTTTTTGGAAAATAGTTCTAGCAGTGTTGGGGAACTGCGGGAAATCTTTGAGCAGGCAGAGTCGCGACGTACGTCACGAGAGGAGAATAATAATTTGGTACGGAGCCAAATGACAGTTTGTGAAAATGAGACTGTGGAACGCAGGATGTCCAGTAGTAGGGAGGAGCCTATCATCGAGACTTTGCAAGAGGAGCAGGAACATGAGTTGCATGAGGAGGAAATATCAAGGTTTTTTTATTTTTTTGTGCCATTACTTCACGCCTGACTTGATATGTTTTTTTCAAGGATTTTCAAGTGCTCTGGACATTCTTTTTGTAATAAATTCTATAGGGACATTTTCATTATTCATTTATGGATCAGAGCATTTTGAAGAAAATATTTCATGCAAAATGGTACTTCAATTTCGCTAATTATCGATTAATTCCTTTCCACTTTTCTCGTGCAATTCAATTGACAATCAACACTTTTCATTATTTATTGATGTTATGGAGAAGTCTTCGATCGAATTTTCAATCACTTCATAGTCATTACCCTCCTATTATTCATTTATAAAAAAAATGTGAAGAAATAATTTTACATAAAAATGCACATGTTATTTGAATTTCGTTAATTACCGACAAAAATTTTTAAAAATTCTCCTGCAATTCAATTAACAAATTGAATAAATTCATAGAATCTAATTATGCATCACGAAAATAGCGCGAGTTCTTCTCTGAAGCTGTAAAATGTCCCTGCAAAAATGTCCTTTAATAATTTGCAATTAATTACGTCAGTTTGATTGGAATTAATGCACAATTGTCATCAGATTCTCAAGAACAAGACTGGCCCTCACGGCAGCTGCAAACGACCTCCTCTCCTGGCGCCTGCTGCTCTGGTGTGCGATAATCACCTTTTTCATCGGTTTCTACGTGAAAGACGCACTCTCGATTACCAGCCCCTGCTCCACAACGCCCCTGCGATGGTGGTCCTTCGAGGAGGTCCTGAGTCGTCACACTCACGTCAGAAATACAGCTCCACCACCGATTTAAAATTATGTTTCCCCTATTTTTTAATTGAATTCATTGTGCGATCGTAATTTAGTGTTCATTAATGTTTTTTTTTGTAATAAAGAAAATATTCTTCCCTATTTGTGAACATTATTGTTGGCCGTGCAATCTCACAAATAACGAGAATGACATTGACGTTCAGAAGTCCTCACCAGGGCAAAGTTCTCCTAATAATTTATTTGTCTGAAAAATGGCAAAAGTCATGAACAAAATTTCCCCCAAAAACAATTTTAACTTATTCTTCTCTTCTCCCATTGCCATTTTTGCATAATTTAACTGTCATTTTGCTGAGATGGTGTTGGAAACACTCAACTTGAATCCCGGAAGTGGTTGTGTGCTCTCCAGCGGAAAGGCCAGGGGCGCCTCCTGACGATTTTCCGGTGATTCGTTCATTCTTTCGTGACCCCACTCACCAGGAAGAAGGATAACGTGAGTATTTATATTTATTTCTGAGTTTTCCCAGATTTTCACTCGCAATCGTCAAAAATGATGCTAATTGCTGTTAATTATGATTATCGTGGCTTAAATTAAGGAAGATTTAGTCTAGGAAATTCCCATGTGGAAATGTCAAGCCATGTGCATATGTATACTGGAAGTGGGGTTAGAAAATCCTTGACATTTTGTCTCATTTACGAAAATTCAGAACAATATTTACTATTAAAATGTTTACAGTGCTTCATATGACACAACACTTGCTATTCGTTTTTTTAAAATTTCTTTGGGTTTTAAGAATGACATTTCACATTATTTATTTCAATTTTTTTTTTTTCAATTAATTTTTAAGTAAATTTTTCAGCATTTTCTCTGAAGTTTCAAATGATAATGATAATGTCAAGTTGATAATGCAATTTTGGTTTTTAATTTTTTCTTAGTTATAAAAATTATATTTCATATTATTTATTTCATTTTTTCATCGAGTCAATGTAAGAACTCAATGTAATATTTATAAATCACTATTAATTACTCAATATTTTTATGTAAGCCTTTCAAAATTTTCCCCAAAATATTAATTTACATTAATAATATCAAATCAACAATATGATCTTGAAATTTTCATAGTTCAACCCGACATTTTTCATTGTTCCATCTTCATCTCTAATGAAATTTATTGATAAAGTTCATTCAATTTTTCATTTTCATTTTTGTCCACATAAATGAAGAGTGCACATAAATAAATAAATTATTGATGAACAGAATGGCGGACGCTGCTCCAGCCACTCGCGGTGGTTTTCGTGGTGGGTTTGGTAACCGTGGAGGTGCAGGTGATCGTGGAGGTCGCGGTGGCCGTGGGGGACGCGGTCGTGGCCGAGGGCGAGGCCGTGGACGTGGGAAGGAGGACCAGAAGGAGTGGATACCAGTGACAAAGCTGGGGCGTCTCGTCAGGGATGGGAAGATCCGCTCCCTTGAGGATATTTATCTGTTCTCCCTCCCCATCAAGGAGTACGAGATCATTGATCAGTTTATCGGTCCCTCCCTCAAGGATGAGGTTCTCAAGATCATGCCTGTCCAGAAGCAAACTCGTGCTGGTCAGCGTACTCGTTTCAAGGTGATTTGAATGGAGAATACTCATTGATAAAATATTATTCAGTGATTTAGTGCAGCTTATTTCATGAATAATTTCGATACGAGGCTTCAGATGATAATTTTTATCCGCAAGTGAATAAACGATCATCTCTAGTCAATTACATCGACTGAAAAATGCTTTCGAGTCGTAAATAAGTGAGCAGAGCTTGTTTGATTTGATTGACTGCAGTTTTTAAAAAATTCTGTTGCATTTTTGGGGACAAAAAATCATCGAGGAGTTGGAAACATAATTTGAATGTAAATTTGTAGATATTCTGGAGTTGATTTGGAATTAAATTGGACTGGAAATTCCACATTTTTGACCAACAGGACGATGAGAATTGTCAAATTTAGTTGAATTCTCAATTAATTGGAAATTCAAGAATATCTTTACCTCAATTTTTTAGATTTCTAGTCACTTTTATGGAATAATTGAATTGAAATTTACAGTTTACCACATTTTCCAATGACAAAATTCCTTCAAACTTCAATGGAAGTATGATGTCATAAAATTTTCAAAAACCGCCCCAGAAATTGCAGTAAAAAAAATTTTCAAATGTGATTGATTGATTTTTCAATGAATCTGTAGATACTTCCACAGCTCATAATTAGTTTCCATACTCAACAAATTGATAAAAATCTTGATGAATTGATCAGTTGAAATAATTAACCAGAGCTCAAGAAATTTTGAATGAAAAAAAAAAATGAAAATGTCGTTTAAAACGCATTAATTTATGTTTTATCCTTCCCCCAGGCATTCGTAGCTATCGGCGACAGCAACGGCCACATTGGTCTCGGTGTCAAGTGCTCGAAGGAAGTGGCCACTGCAATTCGTGGTGCCATAATCCTCGCGAAGCTCTCAGTCGTCCCAGTGCGTCGTGGATACTGGGGTAACAAGATTGGTAAACCCCACACTGTCCCCTGCAAGGTGACTGGCAAGTGTGGATCTGTCCAGGTGCGACTGATCCCAGCGCCCAGAGGTACTGGCATTGTCTCAGCTCCAGTCCCCAAGAAGCTCCTGCAGATGGCCGGTATCGAGGACTGCTACACCTCAGCACGAGGCTCCACCTGCACACTTGGGAATTTCGCGAAGGCCACCTATGCTGGCATCGCCAAGACCTACGCTTATCTCACTCCAGATCTGTGGAAGGACATGCCACTCTCTGAAGCTCCTTATCAGGAACATGCTGACTGGCTGTCCAAAAACCACAGACCGGTTGCTGCTGGACAGCGCGCCACCGAGACTGCCTAATGAGTTTCAATAAATTAACACATGAGAAATAATTTTTGGGTGTTATTATTTCCATGAAAACTCCTGTCACTGTTCCTAGTCATTTAAAAAATAGTAGAAAGCCTCAGCCATTAACGGTTATTAATGCTAGTATTATGAATTAAAGATTGACTAATTAATCAATTATAATTACAACTAATTAATGATTAATTATAATTGATTATAATTACAATTAATCAATGATAATCAATAATCAATGATTAATCAATGATAATCATTAATTCGATTTTACAATGATAATGATTAATCATTAATTAATGATAATCAGTGATTAATTATAATTGATTAATTAATTAATTAGAAGTAGTGGTAATTTATTGCATCCTTGAATACATAAATTCATAAGTGCAGGGGTTCCGCGTTACAAAACAGAGATTCAATAGTAAAATTCAACTATAAGAGAGTTGAATGAAACAGGAGAATTTTTATTTAATCAATTATCAAATTGGGTGAATGAGGATTACTTTTTAATCGTTATATTATAAAGAGAAGGTTCAATTATTAGAAATTAAATTTATTGGACGACGCTAGGTTCATACTCTTACCTTTCTGTTAAAGTGACAACATAAAATTCCAATGAAAGGAATTTATTCTTTTCTATTCTTCATGCATTTTCCCTAGAACGTGTTAAAAATGGAATGTGTCCATCTGAGATTGTTCAAACCCCCCACCCCCTTAAAGTTCAGTTTCATAAGAAAAATGGCAGCCGCCTGTAGACTCCGGCATGCGATAAAATGTGGAAAATTGTTTTCCAAGTCCATAAATTACAGTCAGAGGCTTGGAATTCTGGAAAATCGACTGCTCCGCTCTCCAGGTACCCGAGTCTCATATTTTCTCTCACTGTCAATGCATAGAAACAATGATCTCAGAGAATTCAAAGGCATGATTGAGGTTAACCATTTGTATACTCGTAGGATCGTCGTTATCGCTGAGAAATGCGAGATTTCTGTCCTCCCAAGCAGCTCCTGAGAGTGCCCCAGACGTGGAATACCATAATATTGTCAAAAACACTGAAAAACCAACAGGTACTCACACTTGCGAGTCATTAATTCAGCGCGAATTTCACGTTTTTTAAATTTCTAGGTGAAAGTGCTCAGCATGAGTTCCAGTCAGAGACTCGAATGCTTCTGGAGATCGTTGCAAAGTCGTTGTATTCTGATAAAGAGGTGAAAAGTTGAAATTTTATTATTTTTTTAAATTTTATTTAATCATCCTGAATTAATTAATACTGAGTTGTTATTAATGAATCTTTAAATTAATCTTGAGTTTACTTATAGTTAAATTGAAAAGATTTTATTCCATCTTGAGGTACAGAATCCTGTAAAGGGCAAGCCGTTGTTTATCATTATTAATCTTCACTCATAACTTGGACTGATTAGTATTAAACAATTAAGATCTTCATGGCTAAAATTAATTGAAAACATTTTCGTTTTCATGTAGTTAATTATTCTCATTTTCATCATTTGCATCAAATTTTCAATAATTACGTTTGTCTCTTTTGTTCATCGATCTGTTTAATTATTCCTCCAATTATTAGTCTATCCGACCAATTATAAAACATTATTCGTTATCTTACAGTTTTAAAACGTAATTAATTTACCACAGAGTTCTTTATTAATGGATCTTCATGGAATAATAAGTTGACAAAAAATAGAAACAGAAATTGCCAGCATATGACTGTGATTTTACATTCAGGTATTTGTTCGCGAGTTGATATCCAACGCCAGTGATGCCCTCGAGAAATTACGATACCTCAGACTGAGTGAGAATTTGTCCCCTGAAGAAGGTGGAGATAGAGAGTTGGAGATCCATATTGTGACTGATAAACAGAATCGCACGCTGACGATTCAAGACACAGGAGTTGGAATGATTCAAGAGGAGTTGGTGTCCAACCTGGGGACTATTGCGCGATCTGGCTCGAAGGTAGAAGTCCCTTGGAGAATAATGAGTGACCGTTTCTGTTCGTTATTCAATTATTCTGATTTTACACTAGGCATTCCTGGAGCAATTGAAGGAAAAACAGGCAGCAGGGGACTCTGCCAGTATCATTGGGCAATTCGGGGTGGGATTTTACAGTGCATTCATGGTTGCTGACAAGGTTGAAGTGTTCACGAAGTCTTATGAAAAGGAGGCGGAGGGATTGCACTGGTCTTCTGCTGGGTGAATATCGAGTTCGGGCCGTTTATTCGTTTATAAGTGGTTCAGTGCTTTCAGGTTCATTATGGATTTGTTTGATTCGCAGAGCGGGTACTTACGAGATCTCTCGAGCAGACGGGGTTCAGCCGGGGACTAAAATCGTGATGCACCTGAAGGCTGACTCTAGAGAATTCAGTGATGAGGAAACTATTAACCGTAAGAATATGGCTTTGTAAGAGGGATGGGCATCCATCGTTAGGTTACTAATATTAAGAGCAGTTGCACGTTAAAATAATTCAGGTTCACTAATCGTTATTGAAATTTGAAAAATAGTAAAATAATTCGTAATCTGAATTTTTAGTTGACTATGCATTAAATAATTAACAATATGGAATTATTAATTGACTATTGAGAAAATAATTCATTTATTTTGCTAATTCAAATGGTTCAATTATTGATTAATGAAGTTCATATTATATTTACAATCAATAAATTAAATTAATATTTAATTATTGATTCATAAACTAATTCGGAATTTGAATATTTAATCGATGACTAATTTAATAATTAAAAAATTGTTGAGTAATAACTAATTGACCCATTTAAGATTTAACTTTACTTACAATTTATGATTACGCCGATGTCTGCTTTTCAATTTTTATACCGACCGGACGTGCAACTACAATTTTAACTGCAGATCGTCCTGTATTACAGACTACTTAAATTTAATTTTGAGTAATGGGCAAAATTAAATTTACGTGCATTCTATGCACTCAAAAATAATTAGTTATTTTTCAAATGCAAATGCAGTTATCGTCCACTCCCATATTAATCCATTACTTGACTCACCGTTCCTCCCCAGGGATCATCAAAAAGTACAGTAACTTTGTGGGCAGTCCAATCTACGTGAATGGCAAACGTGTGAATGTAATCCAACCAATTTGGATGCTCGATCCGAAGGAAGTAACGGCCGAGCAGCACGCCGAGTTTTATCGCTTCATTTCAAACTCGTACGACGCACCCAGATTCATCCTCCATTACACTGCTGACGTGCCCCTCAGCATCCGAGCTCTCTTGTATTTCCCAGATGACAAGCCAGGACTGTTTGAACTGAGCAGAGACACGTCAGTGGGGATATCTCTCTACAGCAGGAAAGTGTTGATAAAAAGCAAGGCTGACAATCTGTTGCCAAAGTGGCTGCGCTTCGTTAAAGGTGTCGTTGATTCTGAGGACATTCCCCTGAATTTGAGTCGTGAATTGTTGCAGAATAGTGCTCTCATCAGGTAAAATGCCTGTGTTATTGATCAGGCTTGATTAGGGTTAAATACACTTCGTATGAGAATAATTGGTTCTAAAGCTTTCTCCAAAAATGATTGTTATTTATTTTTCCAACTATGTCTAGTGTCTTTATAGACCTTCATTAGAGTCTAATTAGTTCTTTCATTAATTCCCAACAATTCGAGAAAAATTATTAAAACGTTATCTTTCGTTTCAGTAAATTAAGGGCTGTTTTAACAGCCCGAATATTGAAATATCTTAATGAGAGATCGTCGAAACAACCTGAGGACTACAATGAGTTTTACAAAGACTATGGATTATTCTTGAAGGAGGGAATTGTCACGAGTCAGGATCAAAACGAAAAGGTGAATCTCATCAATACAAAAAATCTGTATCGTTCTGTTAAACGTTGAAGAATCCTCTGTGATTTTATGGGAACATTTTGTTCATTTTTACGAATATGTGGAGTCATGTTATTTCGTACAAACATCATTTCAGGAGGCAATTGGCAAACTTCTCAGATTCGAGTCGTCAGCGAAGCCGGCTGGAGAGCTGGTTAGCTTGCCCAAGTACTGCGAGGGACTCTCCCAGGACCAGAAACACATTTATTATCTGTCAGCCCCAAGGTACGACCGCAGGCTCAAATATGAATCAATTTAGATTGTTCATTCAATCGTCAATTAAAAAAATCAAATGCTGTTAGTGAAAGTCATGAACATTAATTCATATATAAATCTCATTACAGTCGGGCATTAGCAGAGCAATCCCCTTACTACGAATCCTTTAAAAAACGAAATTATGAGGTCCTCTTCTGCTACGAACCATACGACGAACTAGTTCTGATGCAATTGGCTCGTTTTGGCTCTCGTTCGCTCACCTCTGTGGAAAAAGAAATGAGAGATGATGTGGAGTCGACGAAGGAAAGCACAATTGGTAGCATTTCTCTCTTCATTTAAAAAAATCGGCGATTTAATTAGCAGTTTAATTTAATTGCCAATTGTTCAATCACTTTCAGATGCGATAAACAAGCAGGAAGTCGATAAAGTTCTCGGTTATATGAAGAGTGTCCTCTCGAAGAAGGCCGCCGAAGTCAGAACGACAAATCGTCTGGAATCTCATCCGTGTGTCATCACAGTCCAGGACATGGCGAGTGCCAGACACTTTATCAGAACCCAGAGTCATCAGCTCAACGAAGAGATGAGGTACAATCTGTTGCAGCCACGTCTGGAGATCAACCCCAATCACCCAATCATCAAGAAACTCACGACTCTGATTAACTCCGATCCAAAATTGGCTGAACTGTTGACACAGCAGGTAATTTTGGGCTTTATATTTTTTTCGACATTTGAATGTTCGTTCAACTTGGATATTTTTCCATCTAGCTCTTCACAGCGGCTATGGTCGGAGCTGGACTCGTCGAAGACCCAAGAATACTGTTGACATCGATGAACGAATTACTGACGAAGGCACTGGAGAAACACTGATGACTCATCTCCATTTGGGGCGAACATTGCATTGGAAATGTCAAGGAGATTATGCTCTGTATATAAGTGTATTAAATAAAGATCGAATCTGATTGTGAATGATGAGAATTCATTGCTTTGGTTGATTTTAAATGAGGGAGTTATTAATTAACAGGTTTTTTTCCATTTCATTCTTGTGACTAGTCGCATGCCACACGTGGATGAAATCATACTGATCCCCCAGTATCCCAATAGCGAAAGAGATCTCATGATATCCAAGCTAATTAAACTCAAATACCAAAGACCACCATGAGTGCGTTCCTGGCGTCAACGAACCTGGAACCTCTCAACATAATCCAGGAATTCATAAAAAACATGTAAAATTAGAATCTAATGTAATAATTAATAATAATTCCAAGGACTATTATAGTATAGTTTTCGTTTGAATATTTGGTAAAGCGGCACGTTATTTTGACACTCTGACGCCTATTTTTTTGGCGCACACGAAGTTATTCTAAAAAACCAACTCTACATGCATATGGGCCATTCTACAAAATACTTTGGGAAAAAACAGTCTCAAAATTTCATACACTATTTTTTCTAATGCCTCAAGTCATTACAAGATTTCGCCTCGAAATTCTTCGATCTAATTTGACATGTTCGAAAATATATAAAAAAATCAAAACAGCTTTCCGTACAAAATCGTTGTGCTTCCTGACGCATGACAATTTCTACTCATATACGATTTATACAATTATAGCGGAGTGTTTTGACGAAGAATATTTCATGATATTATTCAGTTCAAACTTTGCTAGATGATAAAAGATGGTATGATGTAATGTTTTGATGTTATGATATCAATATGATCAAATATTTGAATTTCATGGCCACGTGGAATCCATCAAAACAGGATTCTTACGACTAGAATGTTTAAACGCGCGATGTACGCGCTAATATTAATCAAAATTGATGTATCGAGTGCATCACCAGCTCCATCAAAATAGTTGAACGTTCAAGAATTTTTGATTTTGGAAGCACAATAAGTCGACAAGTTCCTGTAAGATTTTACTTCTTCGGGAAAAATTACGTGACAATTTCGTACTTTGTTCGGTGATGAACCTGAGAGTTCACTGAACGTATCAAATTTGTTCTCTTCCTATAAAAATTGCCGGCAAACGCTTCCCCACTGCGGATTTCGTGAATTGTTCCGTAATTTTTACTGGATATCACGCACGAAAAAATTTAATAGAAAAACCTATCGAATTGGTTGGAAAATTCTGTTGAATTTCTATTCAACTTTCTATTAGTTTTTGGCTGATTCTATTGACATGTTCAATAGAAAACGTTCAATAGAAAAAGTCAACTGAATTCGATTTTTCTATATAACTTATTCTTTTCATATATTTTCTACAGAATTTGCTCGACTTGAATTTTTTAATTTTTTTTCATTCTATTTTTCTTTTCTTCTCATCAAGAAAATCAAACGAAAAAACTTAGAAAATTTGAACCGAAAAAATTCTATAGAAAATATCTCAATAGAATAAGTTATATAGAAAAATTAAATTCTATTGACTTTTTCTACCGAATATTTTCCATTGAACATTTCAATAGAATCGGCCAAAAACTAATAGAACAGTTCACTCGAAATTCAATAGAATTTTCTAACGAATTCGATAGGTTTTTCTGTTAAATTTTTTCCTCCGTGATTTCTCTCCGTGTAACGCAGTTGATCAAATCTGGGGCACAGCCGGATTGTTTAGACTACATAAATTGAATTTTTAGGTATGCTAGGTCGCAAAAGACTAAGATTTTTCTGAGGCCATTGTGATGTACCACTAATCCCCCCAGCGAACCAAGCTGTAATTGCCGAATACATTTTTCCACCTACATTGCGTTCCGGCGCAACTCTGACTTTCTCTTTGATATTTCTCTCCTGTACCTTTTTTCAACCTTTATGCCTCTCTTTCCCTCGGAATTACACCGGCCATTACTTAAGCCGTTAATTTGTCGGTGATGATGTGGCCAGGGTTAAAAAAGGGAGAAGGAAAAAACGTGTAATATAAAAAGTACAAGATCCTTTGTGCCCTCGTATTCCAGACTACCGACGATAAATTGTAACGCGGACTAAAACATTCTTGATTTCACGGGCAATTAACTCGTCGTGTCAGTGCTACAGAGGGTGCGAGAAACAACTGATGCTCAAACGAGCTTCAGTCCAGAATTATTATTACTGTATATTTTATTCTTCTCGTTTTTTTTGTTATGTTTCGTATTTCCACGCCGCTGGTCATCTGATGTACATTCTGCGAAGTAAAAGTGTCGTCAACTGTCGTTTCAGTTCACTTTACCCGGTAACTCGAAGTGAAACCTTTTCGAGGTACTGCCAGAGCTTAATAAAGAAAATAAAGGACGACGACAGAAAGTGCAACAAAGGGTACAATCTTTTTGGCCTGACCACAGGGGACAGGTGTAATTTTTTTCAGGCTCAAGGTGAACCAGTGGCCACCTGTTTCTTCAAGGGAGTCCTTTATTTCGGAGGGGGTTATTGAGTTGGTGATGTTTTTTCGGGGTTGTGGCGTAATAACATGGGAATTCAATCAGTTGATGCTCAATCGGGGATTTTTATGGAGTCAACGGGCGATGGCGATCATTATGAAGATGTATGATATGATAATTCTTAATTTCAAATTGTGGTTTTAAAATTTTTAATTAATATTTTTGAGAAAGAAATCGTTAGCACCGTTAAACATCATCTCTATCATTTAGATCTCATTTCATCCCGATAGATCATGAGATTTTTTTCAATTTTTTTATTCTTTAAACTTTAGAGGCTGAAAAAAAGAGAGTCTAATTTTTTTAGGAACATTCATTGAATCATTGAAGATTGCTATTTTATTGATGAGCAATCTATTACCCGTCTTAACAATCATTCTTTTTCTAGTGTAAAAATTTCCATATTTAGAATTTTACCAAAAATGATAGACAAAATTTAATGTGGATATTAGTTAACGTGAACTTTAGCTAAACAGCGATATCTAAACATTCCCAAGTATTTTGAAAGATCGTAAATTTCCTCAGAAATTGAATGCAATTGAATTTAGAACACCTGCTCCTCTAGTTTTTGAGAAATCTTCAAAAAACTAAAATTTATGATACATTATTTGAGATAAAAATTAATGTGGATTTAACTAAACAGCAACTTTTGAGCATTTTCAAGTACTTTCAAGGATCATAAATTTCCTCAAGAATTGAAAGCAATTGAATTTAGAACACCAGTTCCTCTACTTTTTGAGAAATCATCAAAAAACGAAACAATTCGTAATAAATTAATTGAGCTAAAACTTAATGTGGATTTTAGCTAAATTGCAGCTTTTGAGCATTTTCAAGTATCTTGAAAGATCATAAATTTCCTCAGTAATTTAATGCAATTGGATTTAAATCGCCAGCTGCTCTATTTTTTTTTTAATTCTAAAAAAATGAAAATTTATGATAAATTATTTGAGCTAAAAACTAATGTGGATTTTGGCTAAACAACTTTTGAGCATTTTCAAACACCTTGAAAGATCATAAATTTCCTCAGGAATTTAATGCAGTTGAATTTAGAACACCAGCTCCTCTACTTTTCGAGAAATCCTCAAAAAACTAAACTTTGTAATAAATTATTTGAGCTAAAACTGAATGTGAATTTTATCCCAAAATTAATGAGATTAACAATTTGTCTTTCATTCCTCCCAGACAATGCAATTATCCATCGGTTACCTCTCCTGCGACCGAAAATCCGCTATCACTGGACCAGAATAATACTATGGGAAAACTATCGAAGGGGATGAGTGAGTTAACTCAATTCCAGAGGCAAAGTGAGTATCCTTTGACTTCAACATTCGACATTTGGCCTTGCACGAAGTATCCCTGAAACGAAGTTGAATTGCACCGTTACGTGAATCCTGGCTAACACACTGGTGGTGTATCAGTTTCGCTCGTTTGGTTGGCACATCGCTCTAACGGTTCAATGGGTATCGATAAGGCGAAACTCCAGTGATGCTTCATCCACAGTTATACAATTCTGCTCGTGCACATGATGAATGGAAGCGAGACGGAGAATGTCTCCTGGGACAGAGAGGAAAAGACTTTCACCGGTATCAAAGCAACGACATGTATATTCATTTAATTAAGTTTGCATTGTGCACATGCACGTACCTCGGAGATTATTATCGCATTTGAGAGCGAGATATGATGAAGACACACACGCTGCACTCGCGCCAAGCCCTCACTGCTGCTGCATTTAAATATTCCATGGTATCGGGTTTTGGATCGGAAATAAATGAACATACTGGGGCTGAGAATCTGCCACTAACGAGAGACACTGATAGGCGTTGGTAGATGCATGGGTGGTAGACATAGTTTCAAAGAGGAATATTCCCGTGCACGAAAAAATTCATAGGAAACCGGAATTCCTCCGCAATATTCACCAGTATAAATAATCTAATATCCCCTTATAATGAAAAAAAATCTGCACTGTTAAAAAAAATTGGCTGGAGTTTTCCGGAAATAGATGTTGAATTCGATTTAAATCTGAACATTCAAGTAAAGTTCACATTTTTAGTGACGGGAGAACGGAAATGCCACAATTTACGTGAATTTTCAAGTGAAACTGAATATTCACTGCCAGATTTTCTTTGATTTTCAGCGAATTCATTTAATATTCTTGGAATTTCAGGAATGTCCGAAGGAATTCCCTGAAAATTCAGGGCAATCTGGAATTCGAGGAGAGGTTTCGTTAAATTTCCTAATTTTTCATTGATTTTCGCGCAATGATTTAACTGAAATTTACAGATCCCACGGATTTTTCCATGAAATGATGAATTTTCAATGACAAAATTCAAAGAATTCTCAAAAATGAGATGAAAAACATATGCAATTTGTGAATATTTTGTGTTCAATTCAAAAGATAATGACCAGTATTTGTAAAATACATTCATCACTTTCAGAATTTTATCAGTCTAATTATTCAATTTACCTCCAATAAAAAAGTATCAACTCCTTATAATTGAGTCATATCACCCCATTAATATTCATTTCTACTTTAATCTCGTGATTACCCACCGCTGACAATAATCATCTATCCAAAA